CCCGCCCCCGCGAGCCCCTCGCGCGACCGCCGCCCCCGCCCCCAGCCGTCGCCAGGATTCCCTCGCTCCGGTTGTTATGGTGACAGCTGCGCCGGTGAATGAGCGTCTTAGTGACACGCGCGCGCCCGCTCAGCCAGATGTGGCACTGGGCGCGCCGCGTCCCCGGCTGCCACTAGTCCTCTGAGGCGCGGGGGACCCCCAGGCCAGGGTGGGGGTCAAATATCAGGCAGAAATTGAGGCTCCGGGTGTTGGGCTTATTCCTCTCACAGACAATGGAACTTGGTCTTGAAAACAAGAGACGCCGTACAGCAAGAAAGGTCAGCTCCTTGGGCGCCAGGCCCGGAGCGAGACAGCTCTAAGTTACAGTTTCTCTAGCACCAGGCACAGTGCCTGGCACATAGTAAAAGCTCCAGGAAAAAAAAAAGTTAAGGCGTGAATGGTTGATTGAGCAAATGAAGAGAGATTAGGAACTCCAGGACTTGACCCTTTGCTCTCAGTTATATCAAAGGGATGCTGCGACAAGGGCTCAGAACAAAAACCCCAGACTGTTCAATTATTGGACACATAGCATTGGGGGGCCTTTGGATGAACACAGACGGGACCCAGGAGACTTCATGGAGGGCCAAACTGGAGGAACATATCTGAGGGACAAACCATCAGAGAACACCAACTCTGAATTGAGTGGTTCTGTCAGCTGTAAGAGGTGGAGGCCTCTGTGGCCTGCAGCAGTCAAAGAAGGCTTCCTGTAGGAAGGGGCCTTCAGAAAGTCACCTGTTCACATGACTCATCCATCCTGTTCAGCACTGCTACTAGGACCTGAGAGAAGAGAAAGGGAGTCATTCTCCTCCTACCTGGACGTGAGGGCATCTCCTTCTCTCTGTCTTATCAGGGCTAGAAGATGAGCCAAGTTCCCCCAGGAGGGAGAATCTGCCCCCCCCCATACACACCACCCCACTCCTCTAGATCACCTCTAACTCCCTGACTGGCTCTGATCCAGAATCCAGTGAGGACTTGGGCTGCCATTGGGCATTTCATCCATCCTCTTCCGGAAGGTTCTTTCCTCAAGTCTCCATGTAACTGGCTCCTCATTATTCAGGCACAGTTCATGTGTCACTTCCTGAGCTTCCCTGACTGCCCCAACTAGAGAACCTCCACCACTCTGTCACTTTCCATCTCATTACTCTGTGTTATCTTGACTTAGTTCGAAAGTAGCCATTCCTCCTCGTTTATGTTCTGCCTCCCCCACTAGAATGTAAGCTCTATGAGGGGAAAGAGCCAGTCAACTCTGTTCATCGTGATGTCCCTAGCCCCTGGGAGAGTGCCTGGCACATGATGGATTGTCCAAAAATGCTTGTGGAATGGATGAATCCTCCTGCCTGCCAGCAGAACTCCACCAAGAGCCCTGGGAGGAAAGCCTCTAAACCTCTCTCTTTCCCCTCCCTGGCCCCCCACCCCCACCCCATTGTAGGCGTCACATCTTAAAATGTCTGGGACTCCAGGCGAGCTAGAAATATCCTTGACAGCTGCTCTCTGGGGTCTGGAGGGAAAGACAGCCCCCACCCCCACCCCCACCTCCGACCTCTTAGATGCCCAGGATCACATGCCCTGCCAGCTGCAGAATGGCCAGGACAGGTCAGGGGTGCTGTCTTATTTATGGGAGTAGCTCCCCGAGGCTCACTCTCAACCCATGACTCCACATCAGAAGTCCATGGGCGCTAAGTGGCAGCACACTCACACATTTGCACGCACACCTCTCCACTCTCTCCCACACTCATTGCTACACAAGCACACACTCTCTCACATGCACTCATATAGCCCGCAAAGTCTGCTGGAATGACGTCACTGTGAGCTGCTGCTGGCATCAGAATAAATCTGCAGACTGTGTATAGACGAGACTTATCCTTCAGGAGTGTGTGTAGAGGCAAGGTCCTTGGTAGGATTTGCAGACAGTCGCTGGGGGGAGGTTTGGGCTCTTCGTAAGGTCCCCTCCCTCCCTTCCCCAGGAGGAGGGTCTGCGGCATAGGCCAGGGGATGGGGCGGGGTTGGGGGTGAAGCCTCAAAGGTAGGATGGTAGGGATGTCACAGGCCCCTTGTGGTCTAAACCTGGGCTGTGGGAAAAGCCAGGGAGAGATGGAGAAGATCAAAGGACAGGGAAAATGAAGGGACCAGACACTGGTGCCTGCCTGAGGAGTCCAGAAGCTCTGCAGCTCAGGGCAGCCTCATCCTGGAAAGCCCTTCAGGAAGGTGAGAGGCATTAGGGACCAAAGCAGGGAACTGAGGGCAAGACAGAAACTTCCCCTGATGCAAGGGACTTGAGTGTATAATGGGAGTGTCAACAGGGCCAGGATTGGGATAAGGCAAGCGAGGCCTCCCTCGTGTGAGCTGTAAAGCGCTCGCTCTCAGGATCGTGCAATGCCAACCCTGAACCTGAGAGTAAGCCTCTGCAATCTTGTACCCGACATCACCTCCCTAGCCTGGTCCTAGCTTTCCTGAGGAGTTCTGTGCTGTGGGAGGGGATGCCACTGTCAAGTGTCAACTCTCTGTGAGTCTCTGGCCAGGCAGGGACCTAATGGAGGTAGGTGTGGCTGCATAGGACCCAGGGAAGCTGAGAGTGACCCCTCTGAGGGGTCACACAGAAACCCTTTCCTGGCAGGGGTGGTAGTTAAACTCAGCTCAGAGGATCAAAGAACCACAGCACCCTTCTCCCTCTGGACATTGGGTAGAATCTCCGACATTCAAGCCATCCTTCACCAAGACAGCTTCCAAGAGGCAGGGAAGTGGCCTGTGCAGCCCCGAGGGCCCTTTCCAGTCCCAATCATGGAGGGAGGGTGGAGAAGGAACCTGCCAGAGAGAACTAAGCTGGATGAAGTCACTGTTTCGGTGGCTTCCATGGAAGCTATTAATACCCATAAGGTGGTGCTCCAGCACCTGTCACCGTGGCAACCCCTCCTCCCCAGCAGTGTAAATTCTGAAAGCGGTTTCCATGGGGGTGGATGTCAGTGCCTGTGTATTTGCCTGCGTGTATACGTGTGTCTGTGTGGGTGGCGTGAGTGCTCACACCAACGCACAGGAGAGGGAGGACCCCAGGCGGGGACCCAGGATGGGACCAGGGCTCCTTCAGCAGCCCCTCTGGCCCCCAGTCTCCCCTTCTCTCTCCTTTGTTTCTCTTCCTTCTGGCTGCTTCCTTTCTGTCTCCCCCTTCCTCACCCCCTCCCTCTATTCCTCCCTCCTTTTGTCTTTCTCTCCTTCTCCCTGTCCTTCTCTGCTTCACTCTCTCTCCTGCTGGCTCTCTGCTCTTTTTGCTCT